TTTTTGTTTATATCGCACACTACCTCACAGGTGGTGTAGAAAGGAGTGTAAATAATTTTGTTGATGTGCTTACAAATTGCACTTACTTTTAAACATAAACAAATATTCTTGTAATATTATCGTTAGAAGTGTCTGCCACAAGGGGATTGTATTGGTATGAATAACTTAAGAACGACGAATCTTGGGGAAAAAATTAAAGTCACCTTTTTTACGTATTTTGTGCATTAAAATATAAATCAGTTACAATGACATGTAAAAAATGCAGTGGCGCAAGTTTTTTTGTAAGAAAGGGGGTGACTCCTGTCCAGTTGTACACCACTGGTTGAACCTTTAAAGCTCATATTTCAGGGAATATAAGGTCTACCATCATACATTATATGTACCAAATTTTATTGAGATCGGTTAATAGATTTCGGAGATATAAACAAAAAATCAATTTTTTTTGACAACTTCAACACCCTGTATCTCTAAAACGGTGCCGTTCCAGACCTATGTTTATAAGGCAAACACATATTATTTTAAAGATATCTATATGCCCTCGAAGTTTCCTGCATAAAATTCGGACCACCCTGTATATCGATGCGACGGCCGCATATTATTTGCACGTGCACATTCCCGCGATTCCCCATACACACATGTTTATCATCTATTTTTTTAATTAACAATGTTGTCGCTTATAACAGTAACTTAACAAAATTAATTGAAAAATGTTGAATAAAAAAAATAAAATAACCAGTGTATAAACAGTGTTTATTATAAATGCACGTTTTCAATCATTCAATGTGCCAACTTAAATTTCTAGTCACACGGAGATAGCATGTTTTTACTTAAAGATCTGTGTTAGCATGTTTTCCAAGCTTAATTTGAGGTAGCATGTTTTCCAACTGAAATTTGAGATAGCATGTTTTCCAACCGAAATCTGAGACAGCATGTTTTCGTACTAAAGCGTCGATATGTATATGATTTTGTATCCAATCAAATGATGAAACGAATTAATTTTGTATGGCTTTTCGCACATTGATTTTAAATTAAGCCCTTCTTGATTTTCCAAAGCCAAAGTCAAATCACCAAGCGCCTCGATTTAGTAATTACCCTGTATTTCCATGTCAGTTCAGTAATTTTCTCATTTTTCTAATAGCATAGTAGATATGTTCGTCATTGGAGACACTTTGTCAAAATAAAACGCTATAAACTTCCACTATATTTGGTTTATTTTAACGTTTATGATAAATACTAGAGTTACTAGTTTACTTCAGTGTATCGCACCGACAACGCCTTTATTGCACTGGGAAACTCAACTACCAACAATCACGTGCTGAAGCAGGTCTTCCTCACGCCCGCCAATATTTCACTAAAATCGTCCTCGTTCTTTTGCACCCCGTTCGTCGCCAGGTCGTACACTTCCGGGCAGTGTCCTATGTACGGTTCCGGTTTCACATTGGTGTTGGGCAGGATCACAGACGCTTGCTGAGCTTGGAAGTTGTACGTCAGATTGGAGTTCACCCCGTCGTTCCTGTGATAGTTGTGATTCGAGTCGATGACATTGGACTCTGTGTTGCTGAACTTCAGGTATTTGTCAAACTCTCTGGTGTCGACGTCGCTGTCTACGTCGCTCCGTTCGTCGTTTGTAGGGATGTAGGTCTGGACCAGCTGGCTGTTGTCCTGCGTGGCGTAGTCTTGGTAGGCCTCTTCCATCGGGCTAGATTTGTACGCGTGGATGTATTCCGTCTTCTCCATCGCTTTCATGGGTTGGTACCCCAGGAAGGTGTCTTTGTTTGGGTCTTGGTGTTGTTCGTAGGGGGAGTAGTCTTTGCTGTAGTACGGTTGCATGTTTGTACTGTAGTAGTGCAAACCGCCAGCCGAGTTGGACGCGACGGTGCTGAGATTGTTGTGGGTGCTACCCAGGAGTTGTTGGTCCTGGGACGTGGCTACGGGTGGGTAGAACGTTCCGGTGACCAGGTGGCCTTGTTCCACGCTGCTCTTGTTCGCGCACATCACGTACATTCCGTTAGCCATGGGTACGGAGGTTATGGGTTGAGTATTGGTGTAATTGGTGTTGGGTTGTCTGTAGTTTTGCACCCTCGTGTTGTAGCTCTGCTGAGCCGGGCTCATATTGGTGCTTGTCATAGTTCCCGATACGTTCCCCGTGTGTTGTATATTCGATACTCTCTGCTTGTCTTCGTAGTGCTGGTACTGGTCCTTGTCGTGACCCAGAGGTGACAGTTCTGGTGTGGGCAAGGCTGAGTTTTTCTCCCTAGTGCCATCCTTGTTATCTGACGGGCTCCTAGGAGGTTTGCTGCCGTTTTTGGGTTCGGGACTTTGCGTTGGGGATGTTTCAGGGGTGTGTATGGAATACGGGCTCTTCTGGGGGAAGTTCTGGTACCCCACGTACCCAAACTGACTGTTGAACTTGAAATTGTCGGGACTGTATCTTTTATCTGTAAAGTCCACGCTGCCTCCAGGACTGGGGAATTCCATCGAACTAAAACTGGCTTGTTGTTGGATGTTGGGCGACACGCTGGCGTTGGGGATGTAGCCGGAGTACCTGGGGGACATGTTGGGCAGGCTAGGGCTGGGTAGTGATGTGCCGACACGGGGGCCGGGGCCGGAAGTGGCGCGTTGCTTGTTGTGTTTCCGTCGTCGTGGTCGGTACTTGTAGTTGGGGTGTTCAGTCATGTGGATAACTCGAAGGCGTTCGGCTTCCTCCACGAAGGGACGTCTGTCTTGGGGTGTGAGGGAGCGCCACTTCTTGCCTGCAACAAATATTACCCTGTTAATTATAAATGCAAGGTGTTAAAAAAGTGTAAAAAGTTTGAGTAGCAAAGGATACCCCAAAAAATATATATAATAAAGTTTTCGTAAAATATTTATTTTTGTTTATATCTGCCAAACGGGTTGGCCAAATCAATTCAAATTTGGTACATTCAACAAGTATTTTATGTCACATTATTTTGTTACTAAGTAAAAGTATTTAATTTATCAGAAAGTAAACACTTTTGAAAACTATACGTTTTGGAGCTTATTACGGAATGATCATCAATTGGATTTACTGTTTGCAATAAAAAATAAATAAAATATGTAAATTTGAAAACAACAATTGTTCAAGTTTATCAATAACTTTGGTAGTCCAGGCGTTAGAGCAGTAAGCAGTAGAGCTTTGGTGTTTGTGTTTGAAGTAATCTATTTTGTTGTACAGATAAATCCTAAATAATATATATAAGAATCCGAGTTTGCCTGTACCAAAAAACCGTTGCTAAATTCAGGGGAACAACAAACATACAAAAACATATTGACATGTTTTTCCTTCCCTCTAACATTGAAAGTAAGCCCTAAATAAAAAAAATCATTCTTTATTTTTTGTTTATTTGACGATTTTCTATAAAGTTACAACAACTGCGAATCAAAAAAGTTGAATTTTCCATTTACAATGGGCGAAAAATAGTAATATTATGTATATTTGGAGCAATTTTTAAAATAAGTAAACATTTATAAATATTGAAGAAGAAGGTCGCATGTCCATTCTACCCTGAAAATTTTGCAACGATCGATCGCATGGTTTTCGATTGACAGGATTGTTAATTAAGAACATTTAAAAAAGTTTATCGCGTACCGTTTAAATTTAAATTAAGGTTTAGAAAGGGCACACATTTTTTTAGAAATACTTGTTATCATAATAAACAATGATCAATTACGATTACGTAAGCTATAAATTACTATTAACTTTAAGCTTCTATGTCTCAGAATATAAACAGTAGAACTTTGTCGTATTTGGCTAAAAAGCAAGGGGTTACGACGTAGTTTTTATGTGTGCAAGATTTTGTCGATTGCATAGAAAATTCTCTGGGCCATAAATAATTGTTTATAGAGTAAAATGTTGAAAAATTAAAAAAAAATCTAAATGGTTATAAAAGTGTAAAAATAGGTATATTTTGTTATCGATCGTTGTTTAGTATGACAACAAGTACCACTAAAAAATTGTATGCCCTTTCTAAATCTTAATTTAAACCCATCGTACGCGATAAACTTTTTGATATTTTCTTAATTAACCATCTTGTCAATCGAAAACCACGCGATCAATCGTTGCAAAATTTTTAGAGTAGAATGGACGTATGTTTTACTATTTGTTCACAATGTTTCATCAATATTTATAAATATTTACTATTTCAAAAAATTGCTCCAAATACAGGGTGGTCCCGAGGTATTGGGCCAAAATTCATGGGTAGATTCCCGAAGTAAAAATATTGCGATTTAGCCGAACTTACCTTCGTCCAAAAGTTGATAGTTAAAGAGATACAGGGTGTTAAATGTAAAATATTATTTCAGTTTTTTTAAATTTATTCCCTAACAAATGCAAACTTCCTCACAAAATTTTGGGGATTGGAGTTATTTGAGTAGAGGAATTGAAATCTGTTCACATTTTGGTTAAAGTTCATAGAGGGCGCTAGCTGCAGTAGATTGAATGTGTTAAAAACGACATAACTTTTTTGTACTTTAAGGTATCTCATCTTTGGTAACAAATTCTTATTTTTCAAATTTTTTGCACAAAAAAGGTATACTTTATTAAAGTAGCTATCTCGCACCGTTTTCGAGATATTTGGCTTTGAAACTTCCAATGCTGTTGCATTAAATTACAATTAAGTATCTACGGGTATTATTAATTTAGCGGTAAAGTTTCTTAAGTAGGATTTGGACGAAAATCAAATAATTGACGTCTTCCACTTGTCTTATTGCTGCCATTTGTATGCTAATTTCTATTAAGTATTATTCATATCTAATTAAAATTACATCTTAGCTTACAAATTAATTGTATACTCGTATACATAAATGTGAGATAGAATGCCGAGGTTTTCGTTTTTGGAGTTACATGAAATCAGTTGTTTATGGTGAAACTATAAACACTTGAGAAGAACTTTAGTAGCAGGTTTTAAATGGTTCAAAGTAATTTCGCATTAAGGATTTCTACTTTAAAATAAGACAATCTTTTAATAAACTTGTTGATAAATGTATTGAAGTTAGAGGTGAACATTTTGAGCAATTATTATCAAAAAGACATATTTTTACTAATGTTTACTATTTTACTGTTCATTACAATTTTTAATTCTAAATAAACCCTTGTTTTTGACATTTCTAAATTATTTTAATTATTTCAACTATTAGCATTGGAAGTTTCAAAGCCAAATATCTCGGAAACGGTGCGAGACAGCTACTTTCATAAAGTCTACTTTTTTGTGAAAAAAAAGTTGGAAAATAAGAATTTGATACCAAAGATGAGATACCTTAAAGTACAAAAAAGTTATGTCGTTTCCAATACCTTCAATCTACGGCAGCTGGCGCCCTCTATGAACTATAACCAAAATGTGACCAAATTTCAATTCCTCTATCCGAAGAACCCCAAACCCCAAACTTTTGTGTAGATATTTGCATTTATTAAGAAATAAATGGAAATAAACTAAAATAACATTTAACACCCTGTACCTCTATAACTATCAACTTTTGGACAAAGGAAAGTTCGGCTAAGTTGCAATATTTTTGCTTCGAGAATCTACCCATGAATTTTGGCCCATTACCTCGGTACCACCCTGTATACATAATAATATTGTTAATGCAAAATTCAACTTGTTTTATTCGCAGTTGTTGTAACTTTATAGGAAATCGCCAAATAAACAAAAAATAAAGAATGACTTTTTATATAGGGCTTACTTTCAATGTTACAAGGAAAAACATATCGAAAAATGGGTAATTTTTCGTTCTTTTTACCTATTTGTTTGTTATTCCTATGAATTTAGCAATGGTTTTTTGGAACAGGCAAATTCGGATTCTTATTCTACCAAATATTTGGGATTTTTCTGTACAATAAAATAGATGACTTCAAATACAAACACATCGAATGCAATACCGCCTGAACCTGATATTTTGAATCTTTTTGTCTTCATTAATTTTATTTCGAATGACAACAAAATGCGTGAAAGAAAAACAGATAAAGCCTTATCAACTAATTCTACTTTTGAAACGGTCCTTCTTTCTCTCTTCTCTTCTAGTTGATTGTTATGTCAATTTAATTTAAAATATCTTCCTTCTGTGTAGCTACCAAACCGTTTAAAATTGTTTATATTGATTGAATTATATCTTATACAAGGATTTTAAGTTTTCACTCATTTGATTCTATTTATCTCGTGAACTAATAACTTTACAGCTTAGATATTCAGGACCTTTTTATAGCAAATTGAATTTCCTATAAATAATGTCATTTACGTTCTTGATGTAGGTCTAGTCATTTATGAGAAAAATGCAAAAATCGAAAAGAATTAAAAAACTACCATATTTTAGCAGTGAAACCGTTCCAGTCACATAGATTCTACTATGGTCACTTTGATAGAACAAAGTGCACCCATAATTATTGCCAATGGACAATAAAATAAGGTGGAAAGGAGTTGAGATATAGGTAATTAAAAAAAACCCAAGGTTTATGTGTTAAATGAATAGAAAGCTTTTAAAATCGGATAGCAAGTACTAAAAATTAAAATTAAGAGTTGAAATTTGGTGAGAATTGTTTTTCCAATGTTCAAAACAATGTATCGTTAATGGAGCGAAAAAAAAAGAAAAGTACCTACGTTTCGAATGAAAAATTTAGTTCGTGTTTCTCTTCTAACGTAACATTCGAGTGTCCTAAGAGGTGAATATCAACTTTGTCCCCACAGCTTGCTTATAGAGGTTTTGACAATTAATTTAACCTTTTGTAACACGAAATCTATCACTAGACGTTGAATTTAGTGATATCCAGACAGCCATGAAGTTCACTCATTTACAAAAAAATAAGTCTACGGACCGAATAAATATTTCGACTTTGAGGGCGTAAAAAACCCGACCCGCCGGCCATCGTACAACAACGGGCACTTAAAAAAACATTCGTCATCTGCTCGCCCAAGATCGGACGTCATATTTTCTCATTAACGAGATTCACCGGTTATTTACTGCTTTTGTCACTTTTTGTTACCTTTTCACCCTATGGGTGCTGGCCGGCGTTCACGGTACCGGCCCACAATGGTCCTAGCACGCTTAATTTGAATATATTGCGACATCGAATGGTTTTAAATCTATTTTATTGGGTAGTTTATTAGCGGTGTCACCACATATGTTAATATTTTTTCATTAACGAGATGGGCGCGTAATATTTTTTCGATTGTATTTGTGCAGATGCTCGCGTCCGATGTTTTTCGATGAATGGCTGGGAGGAACCCTTGTTTTTTTCGTTATTTTAGACAAAAATGTTGAGTGATGGGGGGATTTTTAAGTAATTTAGTATTATGGAAACATGGGCGTCCGTAGAAAAATTTCTCAGGGGGTAACAATCCAAGGACACGTAGCTACAGAAGAGGTTATGCACAACCCAGTGTTGCCAACATATCACTAAATATCTCCATTAATGCGCCTAATTCAAATAGTTCGTTTATTTTTTAAATTTTATACCCTGTAACTTGGAAACTTCACTTCATAGGAACTAATATTAATTCTAATAAAATTATTACTAAACGATTCTTATAGACCATTAATCAGAACCAACTTTATCTCGGGCTCGAATCACTCAATAATTTGTCACTGTAAAAAAAACGGAATTATGAAAATCACAAAAATAGCTTAACGGTAAGTCTCTAAATTCCCTCAAGATTTCAGTGATTGATGCAAAAGATCCGCAGGGGGTCTAGTTAATATTCTAAGCCCTGCGTGACACACAGCAGTTAGGTAGCCCAGCGAC